TATCATTTTCAGGTACAGGTAGTATGCCACCTCCAAGGACGTAGCTTGGGAGGCTTAGAGGCTGAAGAACTTTTGTTGTTATCTTTTTGTGTATTACATGTAAATTCAAGCCAAGGGCTTAATTTGTATAAAGAGTTAGAACTCTTCTTTTGTTGAACCCAAGTGTTGACTTGGAAAGTTGTAAGCTCGTGGGACATTTACTTTTATTGTCAACATGTAATACTTTTATATTTATTATTCTGATGAATGGAAATATGCTTTATTCTCTTAAGTTTATGGATGTCATGAATGTATGATTTATGGGTTATTTTGAGGGCGTTACATGTTTGACATTAATAATTTGAACAATTTTTTTTTGTTCGGATGTAAATATTTGAAAACTGTGAAAATGTTCAACTCTGGTTAGTCGAACTTATGTCGAACAGAAACAACCCATCAACTATATGAATGAAAAAAAAGTACAAAACATTATAAGCAATAAACTCAACTTTTCGTTGTTGCATTGTTCCAAATCAACAATTTGATTGCCATCCATAGTGTCAAATATTAAAAAACGATTGATTTAAATATTCTTAAACCCTAAATCTTTAAAGACAACAATGCTTTTGAGTTGAGGGGAAAAGGATAATGGAGAATATAATGAGATGAACTTGTTGATAATGAAGGATATTATGAGTGTAGTGTGTTAGATTATAATGAAAGAGATGATGAGTATTGGAAGATGATGATGATGTAGGATATATGATTATAGGTAATGGTGTGTGAAGAGTTTTGTATTTTGAAGTTATATTCTTCAAATTGATAGAAGACACACAATTATTGTCCTTAATAGCAATTTTACTTGAGGTTATTATTGTAATAAAAATTTAATGTTACATTGGCGTGTACTGAGAAAAAACATGGTGTAAATAGAATTTTTCTTTGTGTAGCACATATTTTTGGGAGGCTCTAAATGCACTGCAAAACTTTGGTTAGGCATCCTAATGTAAAGAATTTTTTTATCACTATTTTTTTCCTATTCAAAATGACCAAAATGTACTTAAAATTGTAACAAGTGCAAATTATAGTATCTTTGGATACATCTCATAACCAATATCAGTCTTCCTTTCTCTCTTCTCTCTTCTTTTACTCTCTCACTTTCTTTACCTTGCATTTTCATGCTCAACCCTATTCCCATTGAATCCATAATCCTTGCATTGTATTTCATATTGAAGTTAGCAATGAATAAAGAAGAAGACATCTCAAAATTATTTATGATAGAGAAGGTGTATTTTTCATTCTACTTCTTTGTTTTTAAGTGTCGATTTTACAAACTTTGTTCGAAAATCTAGCTAGTACTGAACAAATTACATTTATTTGGAAAGTTGCTTCTAAACTTAATTCACTTGTTCAACAATATGTTTTCGAATTATTCAACGTTGTTTGATGTTTCATATCTGATATATGTTCGACTCTATGTTTTCGTACATTTTATTTTCTAACTTCTAGTATGCGACAGTGCTAGTGGTGGGCGACAATGGTCGCTGATAGCGTAATGATGGTGGCCGACGGTACTTCTTTCGTTATTCACTTGGAATTTTGTTGTTGTCTTGAGAGTTTGAACGACATAGTTGTAGACACCCCATTTTTAACTGCTTGTAAGACTTGGACGCCTCAGGGTGAACACTCAATGATGAAATACTATGCTGTACAAATGTTCGATTTCTTTAGCAAGAAGCCTCTGTTTTGAGTTTTAGAGCTTAGAACCTTGCACACCCTTTGGACAAAAACCGTTTTTTTTTTTCTTCTTTTTTTTCTTTTTTTTCTTTCTAGCCTGACCACTCAGAGGCCTGCTGGCCAACAGGTGGCTGACTGGCCAAAATTTAGTGGCCGGCCATCCCTCTACATGGCCGGCCGGCTAGGTTTCCCGGCAGACAGATATTTATTAGCTAGTTGTCTTCCCCATGTGCATATACTGCTCCAGCTAGCTCAATACATATGTTTCTGAGATAAGAACTTGTTTTTCTATATATACTTGACCATCCCTTATGGTTTTAAGTGAGAAAATTTTACCAAAGCTCAAAAACTTGCCAAACACTCTTCATCTCTATCTTGCAACATACACACACTATACATACACTTTCTAAACCAAAAATTTGAGGCTCCTTGCTGAGGTTCTTGAGCTAAAATCTCAGCCCTTGAGAGTGGATACCTTGTGGTTTGTGAACAAAAGAGTAACTCCTCCTCAAGAGGTATAACTTTTGCCATCTTTACACTACTTCTTCCTTCTCTTTTCTTGCTATTTTTACACTGCCTTTGGACTGTTTTTGTGGGCTGAAACTTGTGATTTAAAGCTACCAAAGGTAGAGGGGTTAACCACCCTTCTTTGAACCTTATTCCATAAGCTTTTTATCCTTGTGTTTCCCATTTGTTTATCAACTTTTGGCCACTGATTTTCAGAGTTTTGATTTAAGGTCCAAAAAGTGGAGGGGTTAGCCACCCCTCGTTAGGCTTGCTTACTAGCTTCAATTCTCTCATATTTTGCTTACTTTTTTTAGCCTTTTCAAAGTAATTCCAGCATTATTTTTGGTGTTTTTAGGACTGTTTTAGCATGTTTACTTCATTCATGCTTTGCATAGTATGCTTGTAGTGTTGTAAGTTCTCATAGGTTTGGTGGTTTAGGCTTTAGACACCAACCTATTTGAGTTAATAGCTTTTATTTCATAGTTTTCATCCATATGATCACACTTGTAATAATCATCTCTGCAACCTATCTCCTTTCTTGGTTTTCTTTCCTTTTTCTTAAGAGTTGTTTCAAACAATTGATTATTGTTTAAGGTATGAGAAAGAGACCTTCCATGCTTAATGGTTTAATCTCTTCGGAGGTTCATTACCAAGGCATTACATCTCTCTCATGCCAAGAACAACTTCTTGTTTGACACTTTTCTTCATTAGTGGATGTAACTATCACTTTCGGACAAAATGATTAAAGAATGAAAAGTTAATTAAAAAAGGCTAATAAAATTGGACTAAAAGAGGCACAATATAATAAAATTGAGTTGGGTTCAATCGGACATTATATTGAACCCATTGAGTCTTAAGTCATTGTGTACTTTAGTGACGTTCAATGGTTCAAGAATCAATGTCTACCGCTTCCCTCGAGGTAACTTCATGATAGGAAGGAGGTTTTGTTGGTTATTTATTTTCATTCATTGAACCTTTGTCCCATC